AAAAAATTGAGCTCATATTGTCCTCATTTTTTTTCTGGTCCTCTTGAGAGTTCTGGATGCTTGAATGCAGGATAATGGGGAGTTTACTGTATCAAGGGAACAGAACTGGAACATTTCCAGGACCATCTTCATTAGTGGTAATCCCCATGGGATTTTTGGAGTGTTAATTACCTTGAATTAATTAAATCCCTGGGTTGCACAATTCAGCCTTTTGCTTGTGTGTTGTATTTTTTTATGGAGAAACATCTTGCATGAGTAGATATACATACTGAAGTAGATACATCCATTTTCCTAGTCTTAAGCTGCCCATACACCTTGCGATCATCAGACTAAACTTTTCGTCCGATGATCGAACCGTCATACGATTTTTGGACGGCAGCCCCATCATGCCCCGATTATTGCAAGGTTCAATCAGCAGTAATTTTAAAAAAGCACCTAGATGAATTGCGGTAATCGACCGCCACCAACCTTGTGAAAAATTTACGATCGACTGAAGGTTTCTAACCTGCTGGTTAGTCAAAAGCTGATCGATTGTACGGTATTTGCGGTTGTACACTGCCCCTCAACCTTACGAATATCGGACGAAAACGCGATCGCATACGAAAAATCGGCCGATAATAATAAAGGTGTATGGACAGCTTTATCTTCATTTTCCTATGACAGCAGCTGTACAGTGATTCTATAAATGACTGGGCAGTTCAAGAAGCACCAGAGGTAGACTCAGTGCACTCTGTAATGTTATAGACCTGGTCAGACATGCCCCCTTCCCTTCTGTGCAATACAAGTCCGTGTGAGGACACTTGTCATGAGGGGTGTGGCTGTTACTAAGCTCTGCCAGCTCAGAACACTGCAGTGTGAGGGCTAGAAGCAGCATTTTTACCAAGAGAGAAAAGTATTCTAATGCATATTTGGAGCAACACTCATAATATTTAGGGGGCACAGGGCTGTACAGAGGAAAAGAGATGCCACTGTCTGCACCATTACACAGTTAATGCAGGGCACCATTAACTGGTCATGCTCCCTGAGGGGGTGGGTCCATGATGCCCAGCACTCTCATCTACTATGGGAGTCACCTTTAGAATAAGGGTGTGTATTGCGTTTACACAGGCTGGGAAACTTTTTTTTTTGCCTGAAGTTGGGTTTTAAGCAAATATTACAGCTGAAATAATGTTAATTTAATTTGATACTTATCACATGATGATGATGATGATGATGATACATAATAATGAGGAGTGCCAATTCTAGATAGTGCAATCCCCAACCAACCCCCCAAATCTGGTCATGTGGTCAGTTTTGACAATGTATTTATGGGTGAACAAGCCAGGGGTATCCCTAACTTTTTTGCTTCTTGTGATGGGGCGCAGCATCACACCAAGCTCCTGGCAGCCAGTGACATCATTAGTTGCCAGGAGCTTGGCGGGACACTGGCAACAGCATCCCAGGTTGCCAAGACCTGGGCAGAGAGATGTTTATGGCCAATATTCATCTCCCTGCCCAGCTCTTAGCAACCTGGGATGCTCTGGCCGGAAAGAGCCCCCCCCATGAGATGCCACGTGGCTGCCTTATTATAGGGACAGCCCTGCTATAAGCCCTGATAAGAACTAGTAAAGGAACCATTTGGGACTTCGACTAGCACACTTCCATATCCCATTTTGCCGCTGAGTGCTAGTTGTTTGTTCACCTCTATCCTCACCTCTTATCAGCAAGTGAATGGGTGCCCCAAAGGTAAGTATAGCAAGGGTGGGGAGCCAGATTGGAAGGGGTAATTCCATTTTCCCAAATTCACCTGGGATAGTGGAATTACCTTTTAAAGCTAAGGTCCAGGCAGATAAAAAAAAGGCAATGCTGCAGTCAATACTAATTCTGTATTCATGAATAAATCATTAAAATTAATTGTTAATGGGGGTAGTGCAAGTAGCCTGTTGCAATCCGCTATACAGCAGCAATCAGAGTGGGAGAGAGAGGGGCAGGACTGGGAGCCAATCAGGTGTACAGCATGCACATGTGGTGTATTAAAACAGGCTGATAGGATAACAGAGCAGAGTGCGCAGAGAAATGACCTTATTAGCCTCCTGCTGCTCCTTCACTGTCTAACCCACAGGCTGGATACTACTGTGTAAATTTCAAGACTCAATGGACAGAAGTACAAATCCTTTGGTAGGCAAAACAGCTCCATAATATCTGTCTTATAGGTGTCTTTAGATGTATTCCTGGAGTTCAGCCTTGAAAATACTGTGCCAACTGTTTGCTTATTTATTTTTCATGAATATGTCTTTTCTTTTCCAGCTCATTAATATTGCAATCAATATTTTAATTTTCTCATTAAAATAAGAGATTGTCTTTTATCTGCTAATTAATATTCATTACACACGTGTGCGGTTTCTTTTTTTCCTTCCTTTCAGACCCATATGTGAAAGTGAACCTGTACCACGCAAAGAAAAGAATTTCTAAAAAGAAAACTCACGTGAAGAAATGCACCCCCAACGCCGTTTTCAACGAACTCTTTGTGTTTGACATTCCTTGCGAAGGCTTAGAAGACATAAGCGTGGAGTTTCTGGTGATGGATTCAGACAGGGGTTCCAGGAATGAGATTATCGGTCGATTAATCCTGGGGGCTTCAGCAGATGGAACAGGTGGAGAGCACTGGAAGGAAATCTGCGAGCATCCTCGAAGACAAATTGCCAAGTGGCACATGCTGGGCGACGGTTAGCAGCCGAGAATTCAACGGACTATCAGCGCCATCTTTTATTTATTTATTTTTTAATTTATATTCCATGTGAAATAAGAAGCTTGCAATTAAATTTCTTTTTCAACACATGATCAAGTAAAGAAATAAAAATACAATAAAATAAGGGAAAAGAAAAAAAAACATTGAACAGATGTCCAATTAAAATTAAAACCCAACATTTTTTTTTTTAGGTGCCCCAGCCATTTTTAAAATAAAAAAGCCCCGTCTGCAATACCCACCACTGCTCTGGCGCTGTTTACTGCATTAATACAATTCTTCCACTAGATGTCCTCGGTCTTCCGAGTTGAATAATGCCTAGCATGATTCCACCCAGAGGACTAAGGGCCAGTGGCGTAACTATAGCCAAAGAGGTCCAGGCGGCTGCTATGAGGCCTGGGGGTGGAAGGGGGCCCCATTAGGTTGCAGCGAAATAGGAGTGGTTCCAGTTGATGACAACTCTAATCCCCTGTAATATCTGCAGTGTAGAGATAACTTCATATGTACAAGAGGAGTATTTGGGATCTTGGCATTGTTACTCACAGGTCAGAGAGAGGGGGTCCTCTTCACATTTTTGCTATGGGCCCTGTGATCTGTAGTTATGGCCCTGCTGAGGACATACCATGAGTGCAGGCTGTCGTGGACTCCCCCCCCAAGTGGGCCTCACACTGGTGCCTTGCACTCATGGTGTAATGATACAGAAAGCAGCACTGACATCCCCACTGAAGGCCTCCTACCATCAGGAAAAGAGCCCAAGTAGAAGAGGACTCACATGACCAAGTGACCGACCTGTAGACATCTGCAAAAGGTAAGTATATACAAAAAAGCATGGAATATACCCTGGGGGGCCTTAAGGGTGAGAAGGGGGTCACTGTGTGGTGGAGCCCGGAGCCCAGAGTTGGGCTTTAAAAAAAGGAGTACATAGTTACAGATTCATCTTGTTATCTATAGCTATGAAAATAGTTTTAAAAAGTTGAAAAACATTTAGAACATTGGCTTGTGCTCAAAACACATAAGAAGTAGTGAGAGTTAATGGGTTAGATTGGCCCCTTTTGTGACTGGGCTCAAGGCACTACAGTGGTCATGCTTTTTAGCACATTTATCATCAACTGTTCCACTAATAAGTTATCATGCCACCAGAATAAAACCCAACATTTTCCCAACTGAAGCCCATTTCAAGATTTGACTGTTTACATTTCAGAACAATCTTTTATAATTTCTCTGTATTCCCTCATATTGGACAATCTCGTTGTGCTTTTTCGAATATGGGCTCATGGGCTAGCAATCTGGAAATACGGCCAAAATTGCACATCGGCCGTTATATTCAGCTGCCAGGACCCCTATTAAGAGTTGAGCTTGGGTCCCATACTCAACACCAAAGGCAAGTTCTACCAAAGGCCAGTTCTACCAACACAAGAGCTCACCATTGGACCGGAAGTAGAGTGTAAGGAATGTGAGGACATTTTACAATGGTTTGTATCAGCATGTAGGTTATAGTCTCTTCAGAACCCATACGTTTTTGTTCAAGGCACTGTCAAAAAAAGTGCATGCAAAATGCTTTGATGGGTTTCACACAACAATCCCTACTTTTAAGGCCTCATGAGTAAGAACTGGTGTGCAAAACACAGCAAGGCCTGTTGTAGTTGGTTGTTCTCTTTTTAAAAGTGTTTTGAACAAAAATGTATAGGTTTCTGGAGCTGACTGTGACCAGACCGTTTGCTGCTGTTGTGCTGTAGTTGGACAAAGGCAATGGAGAGAATGAGTTTAGGGTTCCTCCATGTGGTATTAGATGACCTGTATGTCAATTATTTGAATCTCACTTCCCTTGGGGGCTCAAAAAATTGTCTCTACATTTGGATTTGCTTGATCATTATTAACCTCGAAAAAATTTCAATACAAACATTATTTGTAAAAATAAGAAAAACGTTTTTTATTAAAAAAATTTGATTGTGAAAAGCCTTCTAATTAGATATTTGCCTTGGACCCACTAACGCCTTGCCCTTCAGTCTTGATCACGTAGAGACCTGTGGGACTTCAGTTTTGTTTCATGTTTTCTGGCACAACAATTCATAATACAATCAGATCCTGAAATATTGGCATACCATTGAGCATTTGGAACCTTCATTTAACATTTTAGGACCCTGATATCTGGAAGGATCCCACGTCCGATCCCAAGATGTAACAATACCAAATGGAGGAATGAATGGCTATGAATGGCCATTACAATTGGTTGTATAGTGACTGCTTTTGTCAGTATATGAGGTCTTTTGTGTTCCCCTCTCTCAAGTCTTCAACTTGCAGATCAGGCCATTTATGTTTCTAAGTATTGCAGAAGATTTTCCGCAGTTGTAATCAGATTGTCCCTTTGGTGCAGCCTAGCCTTTTTTTTGCTTTTCGGATGTAATAAAAGTTCTGTAGCTCCTTCTATTGAATAGGGCATGACTGACAGGCCTGAGCAAGCCATGGGCAAAGATCGCAGTTGTTTCTTTATAGCCATGAATTGAGAAATGGAATTTTGTGATGCTCACCCCTACGAACTCTACAGTTTGTGCAGCTCAGTCCTATAAAGCTGGGTTTTGACGGAGAGTATTTCACGCATGGCACCATAACTACTGTTGTTCTAAATGCAACATTTTTGTTGTTGTTGTTTTACAACAATTTGGGGACCCAAAAACAAAGTCTAGGACCCAATTTGACACCTCTACCTTCAGGATGTACATCTCTTGCTTAAAGTGTATGTTAGCCCAAAATATATTTTTTTTCAGTTTTGACTAGAGGTCAGTAGTATTTTTTGTTGTCTGTGCCCGATTGGGGAGATTTTATTGGAGGCAGAGCAGGAAATGAGAGTAAATCTCTACAGAGTGAGAGAAATTCCCCATTGGAAGATTCCCCCTCTATACAGTCTTGGGACAATTGTAAAATTTTTGATTTACCATCATTGTCTTTTTTGGTGACAATTCTCAACGCGATAAATAGGAAGGTTGAATCTCCATAGTGAGGGGTCACAGGCAATAATAAAAACTTGATAGGGGTTCTAGCCTTTCCCAACTCTACCCAAAACTTAAAAAAAGAGTTTTGGTTATATATATATACTTTAATAGATACAGAGAAAGTCTCTAGCTAAAAACCAACCACCATGTTGGGTTGTGTATAAATATTTGTACAGATTTTACCACTTTCGACCACTTAGTAAACCATTTTATTCAAGTGAGCTGTATTTGTTTTATTTTTGGCGTCTCGGAATTATGCACACAGCGTTGTTTTTGGACAAGGTCCTGGTTGAAAGACATTCGTACGAAGCTGTGCCGTAAACCTTGTCTCTACATGTCCATTCTACAAAGGAGAAAAATCAAACCAATTAATTGAAAAGACTGTCAATGAAGACTGAACAACCATGACCCCACCCCCCACCCCCATGGCACATGCATCATTGTTCCCTTTGTGAGTTGTTGTATGAAGTTGTGATTTTTAATACAGTACGTGATAAAATAAAGAAAAAAAAAATTACACAAGTGAAAGAATTGCACGGTATTTCAAGGGCTTGGATTCCGAATCGTCGGGGTGTTGTGAGTGATGTGGGCCTGTGCACTACATGAGTTCAGTATGTAGCATAATGTTCTATTGAGATATTTACCGGTATGTCCCGATAACAAATAATGGGGTAGTAACTGTTTTGTGTCATTGGAATAAACAGAAAAATCCTTACATTCCAACTGTGTAGCAGGTTTGCATTCTAATGTCGTTCTGAATGTCCGTGTCTTTTCAGACTGCACTATTGGTGTATACGTGTTGAGAATTTTTATTTTTATTTTTTTCAAAATTTTTTTTTTTTTTTTCTTTTCAAAAAGTCACAAAGGAGGAATATATGACACTTTTAAGGGTCGGTCCAGCAAAACTTATATTTGAGATGGATGGAGTGGCAAGCTGAATCAACAACTGGCTGGTATAAGAAAAAAAAACAATGCACTACAGCTCTGCAATACATGCACATTTTTCATCACGTTTTATCCCTTTAAAATGGCTGAAAAATACTTATTAATCTTCCAATGCCTCAGGCAGTCATCTCTGCCCAGTTCTCCCCTGCTAGGCTACAGAACACCTTAATTCTCCTCTTCGCAGGGGGTGTTCTGTAGGAGAGCTGGGCAGGGATGACTGTCTGAGGCATTGGAAGATGAATAAGTAATTTTCTGTACTTGCAGCAATGTTAAAAGGCCGACAACACTCCTTGGCATTTCAGTGGAGCAGAAGCTTTGTTGTCAGCTCAAACAGGAAGTCTGGATTTTGGAAGGGTCACTGAGTACTTTGCAGTGTATTTAAAGATGGCAAACATGGTGACATTTTTCTAATACGCTTAAAGGTCCCAAGGGGATATTCCTGTGCACCTGTTCTTGTCTCCATAGTCAATACGAGTTGGTCCCAATCTAACTGCTAGATTTGGAACTCTAATGAAATGTCTCACCTCTGAGTTACCTAAATAATCTGATCCAATAGTTACCCAAGAATACAAAGTTGTCCAAGAAATCTGACCCTAGTGTTACCCAAGAATACAGAGTCACCCCAGAAATCTGACTCAAGTGTTACCCAAGAATACTGAGTCACCCAAGGAATCTGACCCAAGTGTTACCCAAGAATACTGAGTCACCCCAGAAATCTGACCCAAGTGTTACCCAAGAATACTGAGTCACCCCAGAAATCTGACCCAAGTGTTACCCAAGAACACTAACTTACCCAAGAAATCTGACTCAAGTGTTACCCAAGAACACTGACTCACCCAAGAAATCTAGAAAGCTTGTTGATGGTTTAGACTACCACTGCCAACCCAATTTTTTTGGTGGGTTGATCCTTCAAGAAAAAAATTAAATAATTTTTACATTGGTGTATGAAGGTGATGCATTTGTTCAATATAAACAGACTTATAATTGATGCTAAAGGGGGCTGGGTATTTTTGTTCCTCCCTGTTAGAGTGTGTATACAGCCTGGTATTTTATGTGCAATATATGGGGCACAATTTTAAATTTTACTGTACAGAATATCTAAGTTGTATTAAAGATAAAGGCTATGCATTTTAAGACTGTGTCCACGCTTGTTTCCTTAAATTGAAAAAAATATAGAACATTTTCTACGAAATGGCTAATTAGGGAGAGGGGGTTGGGTGAAAGAACGTCTTTGAAAATGAATTATTAGATGATATGCACATCCACTTAAACTATTCATTTTAATGCCAATCTCATATGAACATATAGGGGGCTATTCATATGTATTTCCCAACATATGATAGTGTCTGAGAGAAGACTTGTCTCAGTCTATCAGCAGTGTATGCTTGAGGGGAGGACCCCAGACATAAGTGATTCAGTCAGGTGAAGTTGAGCTTCATTGTTTCACTGGTATAACCTTGAAATCAATATGTACAGTGTATAGGAACTAAGGAGGAGGTGTGGGAGCACCCTCGGAATTTAATTGGGTGGATCTGAATTTCTTATCAATAATAAACAATTATCCATTCCCTCCACATGTGGATAATATAGAATTACATGTACTGTATACACACACAACCAAAAAGTTGGGACACTGTGTAAAATTTACATAAAAACAGAATGCAATGATCTGCAAATCTCATAAATACGTATTTTATTTGCAATAGAAAACATATCAAAGAAATGAGGTCATTTTGAAATTGACGGCAGCAATACGTCCCAAAAGGTTGGGACTGGGCCACCCACCCCTTTTCTTTTAACAACACTCTGTAAACGTCAGGATAACTGAGCAGACCAGTTGCTGGAGTTTTGGGAGAGGAATGTTGTCCCCTTCTTGACTGATATAGGATCCTAACTGCTCAACAATCCTGGGTCTTCTTTCTCATATTTTTCCTTTCAAGATGCGCCAAATATTTTTAATTGGTGAACGGTCTGGACTGCAGGCAGCACCTGGACTCTTCTACTATGAAGACATGCTGTTGTCACACATGCAGTATGTGGTTTAGCATTGTTCTGTTGAAGTTTGCAAGGCCTTCCCTGAAAAAGACGTCACCTGGATGGGAGTATATACTGCTCTAAAACCTGGATATATCTTTCAGCATTGATGGTGCTTTTCCAGATGTGTAACTGCCCATTCCATATACACTAATGCACCCCCCATGCCATCAGAGATGTAGGCTTTTGAACTGAGTGCTGATAACAAGCCAGAAGATCCCTCTCCTCTTTAGTCCGGAGGACGCTGCGTCCATGGTTGCCAAAAAGAATGTCAAATTTCGATTTGTCTGAACACAGAACAGTTTTCCACTTTGCAAAAGACCATTTTAAATGAGCTTTGGCCCAGAGAAAACAGCAGCGTTTCTCGATCATGTTCAGATATGGCTTCTGCACTGGGGGGTCCCTGGTTCAAAACCCGGCCAAATCAGTATCTGCAAGGAGTTTGCATGTTCTCCATGTGCGTGCGTGGGTTTCATCCAGGTACTCTGGTTTCCTCCTACACTCCAAAAGACATGCTGTTAGGGTCACTGACTCCTGCCTAAATTGACCCTTGTATGTATGCATGTGTGATAGGGACCTTAGATTGTAAGCTCCTTGAGGGCAGGGTTTAATGTGAATGTTCACTATGTAAAGCGCTGTGTAAATTGTCAGCGCTATATAAATACCTTTAATAAATAAAATAACTTAGGACTGGTCATCATGGTACATGTGTGCCTTTATGATTTGATAAATAAATGTACATTTGTGATTATACATGACTTTATAGCTACCTGGTCATCACCATAGATGAATATCAAAACAGGTTGTGGGTCTGCTACAAGGGATTCAACCTCATTAGCTCGCAGTGGTGGTACCCTATACAGTGGTATAAGCTGCACCTAACCCAGGGCTGTTTACTGGGGTTGTTGATTAGGTTGGACTCTCTGCAATACTTATTAGATGACACTTAGGTTTCTCATCACCTCTGTAGATGTTAGGAGAAATCTTTATTTTTGCCTTTAATTGGTCCCTTCTGGGAATCAGCAATTAGTTGGTGTACAGCTTATATTAGGACTGAGTGTGTATGTAATAACCAGGCATGCATGTTGTCACACAACCTGGAATATCATCATTATCCCCACCATGTACATAATCCTGGAACTCAGATTTCCTGCATTGTTAGGTCTAAAATTAGGGATGTCATGAAAACAGAACAGGTTCTAGTCAATTTTAATTAGCATGTTAGGAAATGGGGGGGCAGGGAAGAAAAAAAATATGAGATTAAACTTCAGCATAAGCAGTACTCTGAAAATGCACTATAGCTGTATATCTGGAGAGTGCGTCTGATTGCTGGTCTCACTAGACTTGGAGTGATGATTGGTGACTCTACTTTGCTGATCACTGTTCTACTTGCTGGAGAGGAAGCTGTACCTAAGGACTTGCAGTGCGAGGATCTCGATGCTTCTGCTCCATCTATTCTGTGGATCTCTATTGCCTCCACCTCTCCTGCTACTTCTTGAACATTTCCCCACCAGTTCTTGAACACCCCCACCAGTTAACAGATTCCCAATCACCGGTGGGCATCTCTGACATGAGGAAGCAAAGCCCTGCCTCTACCAAGATGGCCCCCTCAACACAGAGGACAAGGCATGGTAAGTCAGTAATGTAATAAAGATCAGATGCAGGGAGATCCTGGGAAATACTGGTGACGGGTCCTTTGTCCTCCTCTTGCCTGACACAGTTCAAGCCCTCACAAACCAGTGGTCCGGGGGAGCCCTCAATATCTCATTAGACATCTCCATCTCTAGCTGCGCTGCACTGATAGCTGCCTGCATTTTCAGCCTTAATTCAGGAGAGCTGACTGATTTATTAGCCGCCTGTCAATACCCACTTATAATAAAACCATCTCAAACCTCAGGGGCAATAAAGTAACAGTGATCCGGCATGTTCTGAGAGGAGGGGAGACGCTAGAGGTGAAAACCTCATTTGTTACATATATCGATGTCTTCTTCACTTTGAGTCAGTCATTGCAGTTCAGGAAAGGAACATTAAAAATTAAGTAACATTGATGGAAGTTATTAAGCCGACATATTCACTATGTAGACAACACAAGAAAGGAAAGAAATGGCAAGTACTAAAACAATGTGATCTTCTATATATACCTAGCATGTGGTTACCAGGAGTCCGGGCCAGGAATGTTTTTGGACTAACTACTTATTACAGCCTGATAGTATCCCCTATATTTGGAAGTACTATATATATATATATCTCAGCAATGAAATCCAGTTAATACTTCCTCATGGTAGCAGAAATCACAGCACTCTCCTGTCCCCTCTCACTTCCAGCTCCAGCACAGTGCTGATGGTACCTCTGGTCCTCACCTCTTCCTTGGTTCAGCAGCAATCCCAGACAGGTGGCAACCCTATGCATACATGCACCCACGCTATACCTCTCCACTCGCCGGGTGCCGCAGTCTTCCGAACTTTACCGATGTCTTCAAAATGACAACAAGCACACCTTTAGAAATGTTTAGTAATGACAACCTACACACAGATACTTCTAGATAATTGCCGGCTTTGTATTCTTTGCATATCTTATTTTCTCTTATCTTCCCCATTATTTTCACAGCGGCCATTTTAACTAAGCGCAGATAAATCCATCTCCCTTTACTTCCTGGAACTCTGGCACATGTGAGTAGGACATGTGACCATGCACATCATCTCAGGGGAGGAAAATCCCTTTCCCTGAGATCTCATGAGATTACAGATGAGATTTCCCAGCAATTCTCTGCTGATGCAACCTTCCCAGGATGCAATGCTTGGGCACAGATAACATCAATGAAGCCCAAGAGGACCAGGAAGTGGAAAAACAATAATTGTAAGTAAAAGCAAAATATGTTTAGCTAATGAATGTCAAATGATTTCAGATCAGCATGCAGAGGTGTATACTGATGTGAATTAAAGTGAAAGGGGGTAAAGGTCCACTTTAAGTGTCTTGTTTATCACTGACTCTCATTTCCAGACGTCTTCTCGTTGTACTCTATACTTCACACATTTTGGGATTGATCCTTTCTTAGTCTTTCTTCATTTTGTGCCCAATGGCTCAAAACTAATATATTAAGTTACCACTGGCCTCCGGCAATCGCCTGACCTTTCCCTTTCATTGGCGTAATGGATGAGCACAAAGATCATGGAACGTCGTTCATTAAACACAGAGGGGATCGTGGTGGTCATGTGACTCGGCCGTGTCATTATTCTCTATCTGGAAGAGAAGATGTCATTATCATGGAGCTCTATAACCCCCCCCCCGGCAGCCCGGGACTGTGGCAGTCTGCGCTGACAGCTGCCTGTTATTCTGCATCCAGCTATTTCTGGGAGGAAAATACTAATATAGAACAGAGTAAGCAAGAGTGCAATCAGTGATGAGTCTCGAGATTCCCCTTAGGCATAGCCTGCGAGGAGGGGGAGCCGTTCGTTTGAGAGGAGAGAATTGTAATGGTAACTTAAATCTGAACTCCGACCTCATCTTCAGTCTTGCACAGTTGTACCGGCTCCTCTCCTGGACTTCCAGAGGATATCCAGGTTCATCTGGCCCTTTCCTCCCCAGCCTGACTGTCCCTGATTCGCCACTATCATTCATTGGATTTCAGTTCCTTCGATCATGTAGGCTCAACATGACATGTGGGCACTACCAAGGGCAGTCTGCAAACAAATACAGCCTGACTAGGAATGCCCACTCCTACAGACAGACAATTAAGGCATTTCAATATTTGCACAACGCCTCACAAGAGCCAGCACACTGCTTGCATCAGGGCTGAGGGCTTTTGAGAGAGATACTGCGATAGGGTGCTGTGATGTTTTCAGGAAGTGATGTACAGCACCCTGCTGGCCCCTCCCACCAGCCATGACCTGCCTGCATTGTAGAGTAGTACAGGGGCCCAGTGGTGACATCACTAGGTCTAAAAGATAAAATACACACATGGGAGATGCTTTGCAAGTAAAAGGATTTGTATTTCTTCCCTTTCAGTCCCGTGATTTACACAGCTCTGCTAGACAGTGCAGCAAGGTCAACCTGGTGATCTCACATCCTGTACGTAGAGTGCCAGACGGTCAGCACTGTGC